TGATGCATTTTGGAAACAAGTTCTGTGGACCGATGAGGTTAAAATTGAACTTTTTGGCCGGAATGAGCAAAGGTACATTTGGAGAAGAAGGGGCACAGAATTGAATGAAAAGAACCTCTGTCCAACTGTTAAGCATGGGGTTGGATCAATCATGCTTTGGGGTTGTGTTGCAGCCAGTGGCACAGGGAACATCTCACGAGTAGAAGGAAAAATGGATTCAATAAAATTTCAGCAGATTTTGGATGGTAACTTGATGCCATCTGTGAAAAAGCTGAAGTTTAAGAGAGGATGGCTTCTACAAATGGATAATGATCCTAAACACACCTCGAAATCCACGGGGGATTACATCAAGAGGCGTAAACTGAAGGTTTTGCCATGGCCTTCACAATCTCCTGACCTCAACATAATTGAAAATCTATGGATAGACCTTAAAAGAGCAGTGCGTGACAGACAGCCCAGAAATCTCAAAGAACTGGAAGACTTTTGTAAGGAAGAATGGGCAAAGATACCTCAAACAAGAATTGAAAGACTCTTGGCTGGCTACAAAAAGCGTTTACAAGCTGTGATACTTGCCAAAGGGGGCAGTACAAGATATTAACTCTGCAGGGTGCCCAAACTTTTGCAGATGCCATTTTTTTGTTTTCTGTTATTTTGAAAGTGTAAATGATGGGAAAAAAATCTAACTTTTGTTGACATATTATAAGAATGTCTAATCTGTAATTTGATGCCTTTTGGAGATTTTTCCATCTTTCCTTGGCTTCTTTATGCACATTAATACAAATTTTTAGCTGGGGTGCCCAAACTTTCGATCCCCACTGTACATACTAGGGACAATTTAGACAGGAGCCAATTAACCTACCAGTATGTCTTTGGAGTGTGGGAGGAAACCAGAGTACCCAGAGGAAACCCACACAGGCACAGGGAGAACATGCAAACTCCTGGTGGGTGGGATTCAAACCAACGACCCTAGTACTGCCAGGCGGAAGTGCTAACCATTTAGCTACTGTGCTGCCATGTTCAGACTTCCCGCTGCATTTTCCCAGCTAGATTCAAAGGGAATGAAAAAGTTTACTTTTATAAAAAATGGTATTTCAGAATTTGGCAATGGTCTGACAAATTCTGTAACAATTAATAATGTAACAATTTCCCGTAGATTGTCAGCTCCCAGGATCAGGGCCCTCCTGTCCCTCTTGTATTGAACTGTATTGTTGCTGTATTGTCTCCCATTATATTGTAAAGTGCTGAGCAAACTGTTGGCGCCATAAATCCTGTATAATAATAATAATAATAATTTCCTGGATTGTTTTGTGGTTTTAACTATCCATCCAAGCAGGGTTGTGTCTGTTAGAGGCGTACCTGACGGAAAAGTTTGTTTAATTTCAGATTCATTTGTTAAGTCAATCATTTCATTTTGTCATATTCGTTATGTTAAAATGATTGATTTTCATCATTCGTTTCCTATATTTGGATTTGTTTAATATATTCGTTGTTCCAAAATCGATTCGTATTTTCGGACGTTCTTTCGGAAGATTGGCTATATTTTTGTTAACGTTTTGGGAGATTACTTTTGCACTCCGAGTCATTCCTGCTAGCCCAACCCACAAAAAGAAATGGAATGAGCTGATTGAATGATAGTGACCAGATGTGGGGGTTCAGTAAAAAAAAGTCAGGGGGCATAATGTCAACACTGTGTGTGAATCACTGACAGTCTGTTACACTGTGTCATGACCTTGTATGTATTAGGCTGTCATTAGATTAGGGTGATTAAACAGAACCTGGGCCCCCTTATATCAGATGTCCCTATCTGTGTCCCACTTTACATCAGGGTTGCCATCAGGGTGCCCCCTTACATCAGGGTCCCCAGCAGACTGCCCCATTGCATCAGGGTCCCCAGCAGAGTGCCCCCTTATATCAGGGTCCCCAGCAGAGTACCCCCTTACATCAGGGTCCCCAGCAGAGTGCCCCCTTATATCAGGATCCACAGCAGAGTACCCTCTTATATCAAGGTCCCCATTGTTATTAGTGGTGTAGTGGTGAATATACCACATCTACAGCCACTCCTCTGTCTAAGTATACCACGACCACAGCCATTGGCATCCACGTATACCACATCCACAGCCACAGCCAGCCCTCTGTCCAAGTATACCACGTCCACAGCCACCCCTCTGTCCAAGTATACCACGTCCACAGCCACACCCTCTGTCCATGTAAACCACGTCCACAGCCACCCCACTTTCCAAGTATACCACGTCCACTGCCACCCCTTTGTCCAAGTATACCACATCCACCGCCACCGCTCTGTCCAAGTATACCATGTCCACAGCCACCCCTCTGTCCACATATACCACATTCACCACCACCTCTCTGTCCAAGTTAGCACATCCACCACCACCCCTCTATCCATGTATACCACTTCTACTGCCACACCTCTGTCTAAGTATACCATGTCCACAGCCACCCCTCTGTCAAAGTATACCACGTCCACCGCCACCCCTCTGTCCAAGTATACCACGTCCACCGCCACCCCTCTGTCCAAGTATACCACGTCCACCGCCACCCCTCTGTCCAAGTATACCACGTCCACAGCTACCCCTCTGTCCAAGTATACCATGTCCATAGTCACTCCTCTGTCCAAGTATACCACGTCCACAGCCTCCCCTCTGTCCAAGTATACCACGTCCACAGCCTCCCCTCTGTCCAAGTATACCACGTCCACAGCTACCCCTCTGTCCAAGTATACCACGTCCACAGCTACCCCTCTGTCCAAGTATACCACGTCCACAGCCACCCCTCTGTCCAAGTATACCACGTCCACAGCTACCCCTCTGTCCAAGTATACCACGTCCACAGCTACCCCTCTGTCCAAGTATACCATGTCCATAGTCACTCCTCTGTCCAAGTATACCACGTCCACAGCCTCCCCTCTGTCCAAGTATACCACGTCCACAGCCTCCCCTCTGTCCAAGTATACCACGTCCACAGCTACCCCTCTGTCCAAGTATACCACGTCCACCGCCACCCCTCTGTCCAAGTATACCATGTCCATAGTCACTCCTCTGTCCAAGTATACCACGTCCACAGCCTCCCCTCTGTCCAAGTATACCACGTCCACAGCCTCCCCTCTGTCCAAGTATACCACGTCCACAGCTACCCCTCTGTCCAAGTATACCACGTCCACAGCCACCCCTCTGTCCAAGTATACCACGTCCACAGCTACCCCTCTGTCCAAGTATACCACGTCCACAGCCACCCTTCTGTCCAAGTATACCACGTCCACAGCCTCCCCTCTGTCCAAGTATACCACGTCCACAGCTACCCCTCTGTCCAAGTATACCACGTCCACCGCCACCCCTCTGTCCAAGTATACCACGTCCACAGCTACCCCTCTGTCCAAGTATACCACGTCCACCGCCACCCCTCTGTCCAAGTATACCACGTCCACAGCTACCCCTCTGTCCAAGTATACCATGTCCATAGTCACTCCTCTGTCCAAGTATACCACGTCCACAGCCTCCCCTCTGTCCAAGTATACCATGTTCACGCCACCCCTCTGTCCAAGGTTTTGCTCACTTCCCTCATAAAAAAGAAATCAGATTTGTCTGACAACTTCTGTCTTTCATGAATCCATGCTGTCTGTTGCTTAAAATATTTTTTTCCAGCAAGAACTCCTCTATGTGTCTTGTATTAAACTCTCCAGTATCTTCACAACTATAGAAGTTACACTAACAGGTCTGTACTTATTTGGTAAAGATTTTGACCCCTTTTTAAATATTGGCCCCACATTGGCCTTGCGCCAATCCAGCGGTACTATGCCAGTCATTAAAGAGTCCCTAAAAATGAGAAACAATGGCTGTGAAATGACAGAGCTCAATTCTTTCAGGCCCCGTGGGTGTATGCCATCCGGTCCAGGGGCTTTATTCATTTTTTTTCTGCCTAAATATTTCTGGATCGTATCAATTGTGAGCCAATATGGATCCTCTGGAGCTGTGTCAGTACCACCCCCCATTATGGACAAGAGCCCCCCATGCTCCTTTGTATACACAGAGCTGAAGAAGGGATTTCATACATTGTCCTTCTGTTTGTCCCCAGTCACCCCCCCTAGATGGTTCTGTAAAGGGCCTACATGCTCGGACCGGACCTTTCTACCATTAATATATGTGATGAATTTTTGGGGTCGGTCCTGCTATCTTTTGCAATCTGTCGTTCCTTTTCAATTTTTGCGCCTTTATTTCCTTTTTGCATCTTCTGTTCTATTCTTTGTAATGTGTAAACGATGATCGTGTTCCTTCATTTTTATATTTAATAAAAGTTCTTTTCTTATTATCTATAGCTTTTTTTTAACTTTGGCCGTAATTCAGATTCACTGAAATTCATTACAATTGTGATTTAGATATTCAGACACATCCGAATCTCGGAATAATAATTTCAGCTGAATTTCAATTTGTAACGAAATGAACCGCACGTGTCTAGTGGCCAGTTGTTACCTTCTCCAGGATTACCTAGACAGGCAATAGGTATGACTTTCATACGGGAACTTTTTGGGTAAGACCTTTCAAATCTCCATAAATGAAGACCAATCCTTTTCTAAATGGATTGAACACTTTTGTCTGAACGCTGAAGGTTGATGTTAAGAAACGACAAAACCACACAGGGAGTCACGAGAGCCCCTCAGACGGCAGAAGGATTAGGGTGGGCGGCCTCAAGGGAACAGAACGCTCTTTATGAAGAACAGACTGGCATGAGGAGAGACAAAGAGTTAAGAAGAGTGTGGGAAAGTGTTGTGTAAAGCAGGGAGTGACTAGGAGACTGCTGAACACTGGTAGGTGAGAGATAACGAAGGGGAAAAGTACGTCCTACTTGGCAGAAAATGATTTTGTTGGTGACTAATCATTTTAGGGTGGTTGAAAACGACAGAAGAGACAGGTCACATAAGAACATCAGATCTTTGAAGGACAACAAAGTATCTCAGCAACGTTCTTCATTCATCGCAGGCTGCCGAGATGACCTCAACATCAGAATGGCGTAGACAAGATTTGGTGAACGTCCGAGGAGTTCCCATGTTCTGTCCTTTTGCCCAAAATTTAGAAGAGATTACTGATCATTTCCAGGCCAGAGAAGATGATATTGTCATAGCCACCTACCCAAAATCAGGTACCTACAGGGGTGTATTTACCACAAGGCAAACAAGGTACTTGTCTAGGGTGGCAGTTTTCAGGGGGGCAGCACTTTCCCCCAGAAGAAGGGATGAAAGAAGGGACATGTGCGCCATGGGAACCAGGTGGGATCCGAGCGAGACTGCGGGCTGCTTGATGGTGTATGTAGATCCTGACTTTCGTTCCTGACGATGTCTGGAGCTGTGAAGATTAGTGTCTTTTTCTCTATCGCTGGGGGAGGGTAGTGGAAAGTTCTCCTGGTTGGGGGGGGCGAGGGTGTTGTTGGTCAATGTCAGGCCCTCAATGTCAGGAGGGGGAAGGGGGGGGTGGTGTTGGTTGATATCCGTGGGGGGGCAGACGATTTTTGTGTTGCCTAGGGCAGCACAAAACCTAAATACACCACTGGGTACCTATAGCCACTGGTGAAGGTACTCAACCCCATCCTCGTTCACCATTGGGATGCTTCTTCTCCTAGGTACAACCTGGATGAGTGAGATTGTGGATCTTGTCCTCAATGATGGAGACATCGAGAAGAGCCGAAGGGATGCCATTTTCCAAAAGGTTCCGATGCTGGAGTTCCGTGTCCCGGGGGAGGTACCACCAGGTCAGTCATTTGGGACTTTGTGGTACAGATTTGATACTACAGTGCTGAGAAACCAAACGCAATACACCTTTTTATTTTTGTAACATCATCGTTCTTCATAGACGCTTCTAGCCTTTTCACTTCCGGAGTCGTTTTTTTGTCATTTCGACATGTTAAAAGGCACAATTTGGGCCCGAAGATTAATTAAAACCCACAAAACATTATTTTCTGGAAGAAAAAATAGTCCTAGTTTCAAATGTTTATGTAGAAGTGGAAAACCCAAATACTCCTGTGCTTAGGGATGGACTCAATCAGGGATGGACTGACCATTTAGGCTCTCGGGTACTTCCCAAGGGCCCGGGGTCAGTAGGGGGCCCCATGAGGTGCCCCGGGTACCTTTCATAGGCTTTCTTGGGTGTGGTTTGAGTGTGGGCGAAGAGACAGGGGCCCCATGAGTTGTCAATCCACCCCTGGACTCAACGTCATTAGGACCACATAATGAGATTATTGGGATATGCACGCTTTGCTGCCCTCAAAAGACCGGGGCAGGGGTGGACTGACAACTCATGGGGCCCCCGGGCAATAGGGGATCATGGGGCCCCTGTGTCCTTGCCCAAACTCAAAAAAGCCTATGAAAAAGGTACCAGGGGCATCTCATGGGGCCCCCTACTGACTCCAGGCCCTTGGGCAGTGCCCGAGTTGCCAAATGGTCTGTCCGCTCCTGGACCGGGGGAGTCCAAATATACTGAATATGTTTTTTTTTTCTCTTTTCAAATGTTTATTTCACAAATATTTGCAGAAATGTTTCTGAAACGCATATTTTCTACAAAAAAAAATACACTAAAGTTAATTTTAGGGGTCTATGTATAACACATTTGCTGTGCTTCCAGGTCAGCCATTTGCTCAGGCTCCATGAATCCTTGCAAACGGTGATAATGAGCCACATAAATATTAATTAAAAAAAAAATTATTATGCGTGCAAAAACCCAAATTGTGATCTGCAAATGAATCTTCTAAATAAATCCAAAAAGTCACTAAAAATCATCCAGTGTCCAAAAATGATATTTCTTATGTAGTGAACAGGGGTGGACTGACAACTCATGGGGCCCCCGGGCAATAGGGGATCATGGGGACCCTGTGTCCTCACCCACACTAAATAAAGCCTATGAAAAAGGTACTAGGGGCATCTCATGGGGCCCCCTACTGACCCCGGGTCCTCGGGCAGTGCCCGAGTTTCCAAATGGTCAGTCCGCCCCAGGTAGTGAAGTGTCGTCAGATATGCGTAGTCATACACCAATCCTTGAGTCCATCTTCCTAACAGGATTTATCTCCTAGGATCACGCCGTCTAGTGGCAATAATGTAGTATGTTTTCATGAAATATCTCAATCAGGAAAATACTGCATTATTGGCACTAGATGGCGCTAATGAGCTTAAGAAAAAAAAAAAAACTATGTTCATTTCTTCTTCCTGGAGTCAGTCCAAAGATCCCTGCTGCTGGTTTAATCTCCTTGATTGGCTACATTGCCTTGCAGGAACCTATGGAACCACCCATGCGTGTGTGAGACAGATCCATACCCGGGCTTAGGGAGACATACAGCAACAGACAGCTAGACAGCTCATGCATGGCACACATAGGACATGTAGTCTCAAGGAGGGGGATCAAGGGAAGTTTTATGCATGCTCCCAAACTGGAAGTTCGGGGAAGCAGCGCAGAGCAAGCAGAAGTCTGCACTACTAAGCACGTCTGTTTGTAAATCCTCTGCTCAGCTGGCCATATAGATCTGATCCCTAGAAAAAGTTTGAAGCTTTATTGTTGGAAAGTTCTGATTATTTTTGCTTACCTATACAGAAAAGATAATGAGCATTGTACCACTTGAACCCTGGATTTACCCACAAGCTTTGGAGGTGACCAGGGCAGGTCAGCTCATCCACAAGTAGCACATCTGCCCAGTCTAAGTCCAGGTAAGTAGGACAGCTTGAGTTGGCTTATCATGCAATTAGTTTTCATACAGCAGCCATTCACGTGGACTAGTGCTCCCCCTCCCCCCAGCCTCCCATAGTGTGCACCAACCTCCTGTATGGCCCCCAGAACCCCCGGGAGCCCTCAATGCCCTCCAACCTCCCACAGAGCCACCAAGCACCCTGGGGTGCCTCCTAGCTTACTACAGAACCTCCAGCCCCCCATAGTGCCCCCAACCTCCAACAGTGTCCCCCAACCCCTGTAGGGCCCTCCATTCTCCAATAGTGCCCCTGCAAAACCACCAGCCTCCTGGAGAGACCTCATCCCTGCAGTTGCCTCCAGATCCCTCCAGAAACCTCATTCACTACAGGACCACCAAGTCTCCTGCCAGATCTCCTAACCTCCTAAGAACCCCCCATTTCCACACTGTGACACCCAGCCCCACCCAGAGACATTCCAACATTTCAATACACATTTAGGGATCCCTTACATTGTGTGAATATCAGAGCTATTTTCTCAGAGGACAGGTGCAGGAACCCCCCTTTCTGAGTCACCCATTGTAACTGCCCCCCTACCCACCTCCGAGACCTCTTCCTTGGTTACCCCCCCCCCCTACTCATCTCCAGGGGCGGACTGACCATTTGGAAACTAGGGCACCGCCCGAGGGCCCGGGGTCAGTAGGGGGCCCCATGAGATGCCCCTGGTACCTTTTTCATAGGCTTTTTTTGAGTTTGGGCAAGGACACAGGGGCCCCATGATCCCCTATTGCCTGGGGGCCCCATGAGTTGTCAGTTGGCCCCTGCTCATCTCCCAGTACCACCCCTTCTAGAGAATACAGAACCAAGTATCACTTTGTGCTGCTAAGTAATTTGTATGGAATTTGTTAAATACGAATAAATTCCCTGCAGCCAGCAGCATTAGATCCCCTCCAGCAGCAATAGATCTCCATAGTAGCAAAGGACCCCCACAACAAAATACCACCCCAGCAACATTAGACCCCCAGCATTAACAACAGATCTCCCAGTAGCCAGCATCAATAGACCACCATAGATCACCACGCAAAATAGGTCCCCTCCCTTAACAATAGATCACCACGCAAAAATAGGTCCCCTCCCATAACAATAGATCACCACGCAAAAATAGGTCCCCTCCCATAACAATAGATCACCACGCAAAAATAGGTCCCCTCCCGTAACAATAGATCACCACGCAAAAATAAGTTTCCTCCCGTAACAATAGATCATCACACAAAAAATAGGTCCCCTCCGGTAAAAATAGATTACCACACAAAAAATAGGTCCCCTCCCTTAACAATAGATCACCACGCAAAAATAGGTCCCCTCCCTTAACAATAGATCACCATGCAAAAATAGGGCCCTCCAGTAAGAATAGATCACCATGCAAAAATAAGGTCTCCTCCAGTAACAATAGATCACCACGCAAAAATAGGTCCCCTCCCATAACAATGGATCACCACGCAAAAATAGGTCCCCTCCCATAACAATGGATCACCATGCAAAAATAGGTCCCCTCCGGTAACAAAAGATCACCACGCAAAAATAGGTCCCTTCCCGTAACAAAAGATCACCACGCAAAAATAGGTCCCTTCCCGTAACAATAGATCACCACACAAAAATAGGTCCCCTCCTGTAAGAATAGATCACCATGCAAAAATAGGTCCCCTCCCATAACAATAGATCACCACGCAAAATAGGTCCCCTCCCTTAACAATAGATCACCACGCAAACATAGGTCCCCTCCGGTAACAATAGATCACCACACAAAAATAGGTCCCCTCCCATAACAATAGATCACCACGCAAAAATAGATCCCCTCCCATAACAATAGATCACCACACAAAAATAGGTCCCTTACCGCAACAAAAGATCACCACGCAAAAATAGGTCCCCTCCGGTAACAATAGATCACCACGCAAAAATAGATCCCCTCCCATAACAATAGATCACCACGCAAAAATAGATCCCCTCCCATAACAATAGATCACCACGCAAAAATAGACCCCCTATTGTTACAATAGATCACCACGCAAAAATAGGTCCCCGCCCCTAACAATAGATCACCACACAAAAAATAGATCCCCTCCGGTAACAATAGATCACCATGCAAAAATAGATCCCCTATTGTTACAATGGATCACAGAGCAGCCAGCATCAGAAGACCTTCCAGCACACCCCAGCAGCCTTTGCCATTACTTACATTCAGTGCTGGAGGTGCCGGAACTGCGCCCCCCCCCCCCCCCCCTACCCCGCGCTCCCACTGAAAGTAAAGCCCTGGTCAATATAAACTTTTTCTATTTGAACTCTTGGGGCGCGGAAGGTTTTGGAAGTATTTCCCAGGCCGTCGTCCTCCATAAACTTGAGAAGTTCAGCTGAAGAGCATTAGAAGGATGAGAACTCCTCCGAGCTCGATTCGGTTCAGTAAGAATTTTCTTTTTAGGACATGTAATCCACATCCGACGCGTTTCACAAGATCGAAACTCCCCTCATCAGGGCCTCTTGAACTCTTCTGTCTTTTTCCAGGGAGTGAAATATTGGAATCGGTGGCCTCCCCGAGAGTGATCAAGACTCACCTACCTTTACCGCTCTTCCCACAATCATTGTTGGATGAGAACGTTCGGGTAAGGCTATGGTGGGCTGGGTCGGAGGTGTCTCGTATCTTTCCTTCCCAATCACAATTCGGACATTTTTATTATTTGGAGATTCGGATGTATCCGAATTCCCTAATTACAGTTGTAATGAACTTAAACGAATCTGAAATAATAAAAACAAAATCTTGTCTGAAATAACAAATGATCCAAATTCGAATCAAATTCGAAACTAAATCGGAAACAAATATGATTACCGAACGAACGACGTTTCCGATTTTTGGACAAAAAAACGTTCAGAATTCGACCCATATATGGCCTGCATAGGGGTGGGTTAGGCCCCTTGTCAGGTTTTTACTGTTTATACCAAGAAACCAAAAAAAAAAATACAAATAAATGAAAAGCTTTGTTGCGCTGCAGGAAAAGTGTAAACATGCCGGCAAGGCCTGCCAAAAAAAAGTTAAGTAACGATCGGTCAACTATTTCTAGTCTCGGGGTAATCATTTCTAGGGAACATCCAGGGGAATATTTCACATATTTGGTCTAAATGTTCCAGAACTGGAAACTGAATAGCAAAGCCCTGAAATGGTTGTAAACCTCAGACATGAAATATGAACAAAGCCTATCTCTCTATAGTGTGTACTTGTCTCAGTCCAGAGCACTGAGTGTCATTTCAGTCCGCTGCCTCCTTCCTCTGGTATCAGCATGAACCACTTCTGACAAGTTTTTCGGACACCAAGAGAAAAATGGTGGCAGGGGAGGGACCTGTTTGATCCTGTCTTCTCTGATCCTTCCCTTCTTCTACTGTCCCCGATCCATCTGCTGATAGGACAGAGCTTTGGGGGCAAGCTGCACATGCTCAGTTTGGTGTGTATTGCTAGAGTTTTTTTTTTTTTTTGACAGCCTCGACTCTGTTCTTGTGAGCTGTGTGGAAGGGGGGGGGGGGTGTCCCTTTCCTCCAATCAGCTCTCAGTGCTCTCCTCACTGTTCTCTGAAGTGTGTAGTTTTAGCTCCCCACCCACTTTTTTTCTGAACTCTCAGAGGAGCTTTATAAATTCAGCACTTTGAATGGATGTAGGAGGCAGGCGGCTGCCCATAAATGAGTACAGCTTGTGTAGGAGGATTTGTTTCATTCCTGAGGCCGGTCACTTTATTGGGTATATGGAAGGGTTTACAGTCACCTTAATCCTGAATCCCGTGAATTGGGCTTTTCTAGTCAGTTTCCAGTTCCAGAATATTTAGATTTTGAAGGAATTACCAATGCCTAATATTCAAAACGTTCCCAACGGCTGTCCAATATAAATGACCACCCCTCCCCCCCCTCCCCCAGGCTGCAAATATTTTACAGATTTTTCCTTATCATTGTGTAAAAAGGCTGTGTGATCCTGTCTTCTCTGTTCCTTCCCTTCTTCTACTGTCCCCGATCCATCTGCTGATAGGAGAGAGCCTTGGGGGCAAGGTGCACATGCTCAGTTTGGTGTGTATTGCTAGAGAGTTTGTTTTTTTTTTTCTTGGAAGAGTGTGTGATCAGCACAGGGCCAATCAGTACTGACCAGACAGAGGGTCAAGGGTCCTGCAGCCTCATAGGACAATCAGGGGAGAATGAAAACTCCTCCTACGAGCTTCAACTAGTGGTGGGGGGAGCATGTTTAAGATTAGATAGTTTGAGACCAGATTTTCTCTTTAAAATGTAACTAAACCCACAGCAGTAACATCAGTCTGTAGATGCAGTAATACTCAGTGTGGAACTGAGTTTAAGGGATTAATCCTCTGCATTGTGTAAAAAGGCTGTTTGATCCTGTCTTCTCTGATCCTAAGGGGGGTGCATGTGATCATCACAGGGCCAATCAGCACTATCCAGACAGAGGGTCAGGGGTTATGTAGCCTCATAGGACAGTCAGAGGAGAATGAAAACTCCTCCTACAAGATTAACCAGTGCTCTGCTGGACACTAAAAGAAGTCACTAGACTGCTCTATACTGCTGATGAGAAAAGGTATTTAGCAGTTATATTTACTAAAATAAATACATTTCCATGTTCTGTGTACTGTGTGAGACCAGATATAGTGAATGCGGGGTCCGGGGAGAGCGGATATAGTGAATGCGGGGTCCGAGGAGACCAGATATAGTGAATGCGGGGTCCGGGGAGAGCAGATATAGTGAATGCGGGGTCCGGGGAGACCAGATATAGTGAATGCGGGGTCCGGGGAGACCAGATATAGTGAATGCAGGGTCCGGGGAGAGCAGATATAGTGAATGCGGGGTCCGGGGAGACCAGATATAGTGAATGCGGGGTCCGGGGAGAGCGGATATAGTGAATGCGGGGTCCAGGGAGAGCGGATATAGTGAATGCGGGGTCCGGGGAGACCAGATATAGTGAATGCGGGGTCCGGGGAGAGCGGATATAGTGAATGCGGGGGTCCGGGGAGAGCGGATATAGTGAATGCGGGGTCCGGGGAGAGCGGATATAGTGAATGCAGGGTCCGGGGAGAGCGGATATAGTGAATGCGGGGTCCGGGGAGAGCGGATATAGTGAATGCGGGGTCCGGGGAGAGCGGATATAGTGAATGCGGGGTCCGGGGAGAGCGGATATAGTGAATGCGGGGTCCGGGGAGAGCGGATATAGTGAATGCGGGGTCCGGGGAGACCAGATATAGTGAATGCAGGGTCCGGGGAGAGCAGATATAGTGAATGCGGGGTCCGGGGAGACCAGATATAGTGAATGCGGGGTCCGGGGAGAGCGGATATAGTGAATGCGGGGTCCAGGGAGAGCGGATATAGTGAATGCGGGGTCCGGGGAGACCAGATATAGTGAATGCGGGGTCCGGGGAGAGCGGATATAGTGAATGCGGGGTCCGGGGAGAGCGGATATAGTGAATGCGGGGTCCGGGGAGAGCGGATATAGTGAATGCAGGGTCCGGGGAGAGCGGATATAGTGAATGCGGGGTCCGGGGAGAGCGGATATAGTGAATGCGGGGTCCGGGGAGAGCGGATATAGTGAATGCGGGGTCCGGGGGGAGAGCGGATATAGTGAATGCAGCCACCTACGGGGCTTAGTCATAGCCTAGTATTTAAGGTGAAATGTGTCAGGGGGGGGTCTATGATGGAGAGCTGCCTGTCCCACATTGACACCATACTCCAGTCGGACCGGGAATATGACTTTCTTCAAAAATTATGATAACCAATCCTATATAAAATACGCAGATAAAAGAAAGTCATGGATTATCTTTGTACAGACGTTGGATATTTCCATAATATACCAACTCCTGTCATTTAAATCACCCCACTTAAAATCGTGCAGCTAGCATATCGTATATAGGTGTCAGAGCTGTCGTATTTTGCACAGTTCCCATGCCGGTTCCGTAACCAAGATCTTTGGTGTGGTTCAGAAATGATGGAGGTTTTTTATTGCTGTGTCCCCAATGGGGAGTTTCACCCTGTCTGTCCTGGTGTCACCAAGACAGGAAGTGATGGAAAATCCAAAATATGACTATTGTCACCAGTAAAAAAAGAAACTCTTTCAAGGGGGACAATGACAAGGGTCTAAGGGGGCTTTTTTAAGAGTTTCCTCACTTTCTGTTGCAATTCTGGGACAGAACATAAAGATAAATCTCCCATTTAAGACACAGATAGGAAAAAAAAAAAAGCAAGAGGGGTTTTTATGCCTAAATTTACATATTCAAGAGGTATCTATTCATTCAAAGGAAGGAAACCTCATTCTTCAAGCTCTCTGGTTCTGCCAAGGTGGCCCACATACAACAAGGTTCCCGTTGGTCGGTACCCAGAATAGGATTTAGCATGAAAATACAACAAGGGCATCGAACCAAATGGTGAAAGAGTCCAAGTCACTTTAATGATTCGTAATACAATCACATAGAACCTCCAACGCGTTTCGGAAGCCATCCCTTTCCTACATAATCAGTATTTGACAAGGGTCTAAGAGGGCTTTTTTTGTAAGAGTTTCCTCACTTTCTGTTGCAATTCTGGGACAGGACATAAAGAAAAATCTCCCAAGTGAGACACTTAGAAAAAAAAAGCAAAAGGGGTTTTTATGCCTAAATTGACCTATTCAAGAGGTATCTATTCGATTAAAGGAAGGAAACCTCATTCTTCAAGCTCACTGGTTCTGCAAAGGTGGCCACATACAAGGTTCCCATTGGTGGGTACCCAGAATAGGATTAAAGCATCAGAATACAACAAGGGCATCGAACCAAATAGTGAAAGAGTCCAAGTCACTTTAACGATTTGTAATATGTTCACATAGAACCTCCAACGCGTTTCGGACTCCATCCCTTTCCTACATAATCGTTTTTGGCTATACCTAATCTTTACTTGAACTTCACTGTCCTTTCGTTCTCTTTGGCTGGAAGTTTTGACCGACCTTTTCTGTTATCATTAGATAATCTACGTAGCGAGGAACCCAAAGACGTGGTCGTGTCCTACTTTCATTTCGATAAGATGAACCAGCTGCATCCAGACCCGGGATCCTGGGAGGAGTACCTAGAGAGGTTCATCCAAGGAAACGGTGAGGGGCAACCACAAGGCTTTATCAGTCGCCGATTTTATTGACCATCCACTAAGGAACATCTTGTCTGTTGTAGTCGGTTTCGGCCCCTGGGGAGCTCATGTAAGGGACTGGTGGAACCTGAAGGAGCAGAAGAACATTCTGTACGTATTCTACGAGGACATGTTAGAAGTAAGTCTTCCCTTCCAGCTGAGGGAGAAACATTTGAGTGCAAAGTAATATAGGTCATAGGAACAAGTTCATATTTCAGAATTCATTCTCAATCTTTTTTAAATCTGCAGCTTTCATTAACCTGCTGTCTGTGCAGAGCCCTGTGTTGTTAGTAGACACAGGGCCCTGTACTGTGATTCGTTAAGCCGATCAACAGGTCCCAACCATAAACCATTGGCTGGGACCTGCTAACTGACTGCTGCTGTACCGAATGATAGCACAGACCAGGCGGGGAGAGTGTCCGCTACCCAGAAATGCTGGATCACGTACATGTATGTGAAAAAGCAAAGAGGGGCCACCCACCCACAGTAAATATACTGTGGGTGGTCTTTAAATAGTTAAATTGTGCTCCTGCACTGTCACCCTGTCACAATGATGGAGACTACACCTAGTATACTCACCAACATTTCAGTCCTTGGTTCCTGGAACATAGTTATAGTAACTCTGCCAACCGTCTGCCCCAGGCCCACCCAACCCTGGGCAGCACCACCCAACCCAGGGCAGCCCAACCCAACCCAACCTAGGGTAGCCCCACCCAACCTCTGGCAGCGCCACCCAACCCAACCCAGGGTAGCCCCACCCAACCCAGGGTAGCCCCACCCAACCTCTGGCAGCCCAACCCAACCCAGGGTAGCCACACCCAACCTCAGGCAGCACCACCCAACCCAACCCAACCCCATGTAGCCTCACCCAACCCAACCCAGGGTAGCCCCACCCAACCCAACACAGGGTAGCCCCACCCGGGTCCCAACAGGGTCGCACCCAACTCCTGCCAAATTACTAAAGTGCTCAGTCCTATCCACGCCTCTAATTTTGCAGGGACCACCCATTCATGACCCCCGATCACCAAAATGAATGCCTTTATGAGTTACTGTGCATGCAGAACGGGTGACACTAGGACATCACCCGGGACACAGCATCATCGGGGCTGAGGTCCAAGATCTGGGACAGTTGGCATCTATAAAGTAGCTCTTCCAACATCTCCTATGCTGTCATTATTAATAAGCCATTCCAGAGGTGCAGCTGGTGCTGGAAAAATGCATTCCGACGGGAAGTGGCTGGAAGAGGCTGAAGGAGATCGGCAAAACTCAAATGGGAAAGGATGACAAAGTAGTCAGTAAAACACAGTGTTTTATTTTTTTTAAAAAATGTTTGATACCCAATGCTTTAGTAATCAGTCATCCAGTTCAGGTTTACAGTTCATTTAACACTTCTTCTTTTCACTAGGATCCAAGTCGTGAGATCCAAAGAGTTGTCAGGTTTTTGGGGAAAGACTTCTCCGAAGAGGTTGTGGACAGGATTTGTCAACATACATCTTTCAAGGCAATGAAAAAGAATCCCCTCACTAACTACACAGCCATCTCCTCCACCATCATGGACCATTCCATCTCCCCGTTCATGAGGAAAGGTACAATACCCACCACCTGTCTGCTGAAAGAGGAACTACTGCATACATACTGTATATACTACATACTATATATAGTATACTGTATATATATATATTATTTTATATATATATATATATATATATATATATTCAATACACTGTATATACAAATATATATATATAATTTTTTTTTCATACATATATACACTGCTCAAAAAAAAAATTAAAGGAACACTTTGAAAACACATCAGATTTCAATGAGGAGAAATCTCCTGCTGGATCTCTATACTGATATGGACGGGTTAATGTGTTCGGAATGTAAGGACGCCCCATCGTTTGATGGAAATGAAATTAATTTCCAGAGGAATGAATTCAAAGACACCCCCAAAATCAAAGTGAAGAAATGATGCAGCAACTGAGTCCATTTTGCTGAAATGTCATTGCAGCAACTCAGAATGGTCCTCAGTAGTTTGTATGGCCCCCACGTGCTTGTATGAGCTCCTGGACAGTCTGAGATGCAACCTGGCGGCGTCGGATGGACCGAAACATGACATCCCAGAGGTGTTCTATTGGATTTAGGTCAGGTGAGCGTGGGAGCCATTCAATGGTATCAATTCCTTCATCCTCCAGGAACTGTCTGCACACTCTCCCCACATGAGGCCGGGCATTGTCGTGCACCAGGAGGAACCCAGGACCCACTGCACCAGCGTAGGGTCTGACAATGGGTCCAAGGATTTCATCCCGATACCTAATGGCAGTCAGGGTGCCATTGTCTAGCCTGTAGAGGTCTGTGTCCCTCCATGGATATTCCTCCCCAGACCATCACTGACCCACCACCAAGACGGTCATGCTGAACCATGTTACAGGCAGCAGAACGTTCTCCATGGCTTCTCCAGACCCTTTCACGCCTGTCACATGTGCTCAGGGTGAACCTGCTCTCATCTGTGAGAAGCTCAGGGCGCCAGTAGTGGACCTGCCAATTCTGGGGTTCAATGGCAAATGCCAAGGGTCAGTGGTGACACCAAGGACTCCAGTGATCGGCCGACCATGGCCAGAAGTGACATCAGCATCAGAAGTGACTGGGAATGATGCAAGGTGAGGGCGGAAATGTTCCCAAAAAAAGTGCCATAGTAAGGGCACCAATGGACAGGGTGAAAGGTGCCAATGCCTGGTGTGACGGAAAAAACCAAGGGAATCTTACCAAGGAACTGGAACAAGGGTCAGTGGTGATACCAGGGACTCCAGTGATCGGTCGGCCATGGCCAGAAGTGACATCAGCATCAGAAGTGACTGGGAATGATGCAAGGTGAGGGCGGAAATGTTCCCAAGAAAAGTGCCCTAGTAAGGGCACCAATGGACAGGGTGGAAGGTGCCAATGCCTGGTGTGGAAAAAAACAAAGGAAAGATGGAAAAAAACAAGGGAATCTTACCAAGGAACTGGAACAAGGGTCAGTGGTGATACCAGCCACCGGGGACTCTGGTGATCGGCCGGCCATGGCCAGAAGTGACATCAGCATCAGAAGTGACTGGGAATGTTCCCAAAGAAAGTGCCATAGTAAGGGCACCAATAGACAGGGTGAAAGGTGCCAATGCCTGGTGTGACGGAAAAAACCAAGGGAATCTTACCAAGGAACTGGAACAAGGGTCAGTGGTGATACCAGGGACTCCAGTGATCGGTCGGCCATGGCCAGAAGTGACATCAGCATCAGAAGTGACTGGGAATGATGCAAGGTGAGGGCGGAAATGTTCTCAAGGAAAGTGCCATAGTAAGGGCACCAATGGACAGGGTGGAAGGTGCCAATGCCTGGTGTGATGGAAAAAACCAAGGGACTCTTACCAATGAACTGAAACAAGGGTCAGTGGTGACACCAGGGACTCCAGTGATCAGCTGGCCATGGCCAGAAGTGACATCAGCATCAGAAGTGACTGGGAATGATGCAAGGTGAGGGCGGAAATGTTCCCAAGGAAAGTGCCGTAGTAGGGGCACCAATGGACAGGGTGGAAGGTGCCAATGCTTGGTGTGATGGAAAAAATCAAGGGAATCTTACCAATGAACTGGAACAAGGGTCAGTGGTGACACCAGGGACTCCAGTGATCGGCCGGCCATGGCCAGAAGTGACATCAGCATCAGAAGTGTCTGGGAATGATGCAAGGTGAGGGCAGAAATGTTCCCAAGAAAAGTGCCGTAGTAAGGGCACCAGTGGACAGGGTGGAAGGTGCCAATGCTTGGTGTGATGGAAAAAATCAAGGGAATCTTACCAATGAACTGGAACAAGGGTCAGTGGTGACACCAGGGACTCCAGTGATCGGCCGGCCATGGCCAGAAGTGACATCAGCATCAGAAGTGACTGGGAATGATGCAAGGTGAGGGCGGAAATGTTCCCAAGAAAAGTGCCTTAGTAAGGGCACCAATGGACAGGGTGGAAGGAGCCAATGCTTGGTGTGATGGAAAAAATCAAGGGAATCTTACCAAGGAACTGGAACAAGGGTCAGTGGTGATACCAGGGACTCCAGTGATCGGTCGGCCATGGCCAGAAGTGACATCAGCATCAGAAGTGACTGGGAATGATGCAAGGTGAGGGCGGAAATGTTCCCAAGGAAAGTGCCATAGTAAGGGCACCAATGGACAGGGTGGAAGGAGCCAATGCCTGGTGTGATGGAAAAAACCAAGGGAATCTTACCAATGAACTGGAACAAGGGTCAGTGGTGACACCACGGACTCCAGTGATTGGCCGGCCATGGCCAGAAGTGATATCAGCATCAGAAGTGACTGGGAATGATGCAAGGTGAGGGCGGAAATGTTCCCAAGAAAAGTGCCATAGTAAGGGCACCAATGGACAGGGTGGAAGGAGCCAATGCTTGGTGTGATGGAAAAAATCAAGGGAATCTTACCAATGAGCTGGAACAAGGGTCAGTGGTGACACCAGGGACTCCAGTGATCGGCCGGCCATGGCCATAAGTGACATCAGCATCAGAAGTGACTGGGAATGATGCAAGGTGAGGGCGGAAATGTTCCCAAGAAAGGTGCCATTGTAAGGGCACCAATGGACAGGGTGGAAGGTGCCAATGCCTGGTGTGATGGAAAAAAACAAAGGAAAGATGGAAAAAAACAAGGGAATCTTACCAAGGAACTGGAACAAGGGTCAGTGGTGATACCAGCCACCGGGGACTCCGGTGATCAGCCGGCCATGGCCAGAAGTGACATCAGCATCAGAAGTGACTGGGAATGTTCCCAAGGAAAGTGCCATAGTAAGGGCACCAATGGACAGGGTGGAAGGAGCCAATGCTTGGTGTGATGGAAAAAATCAAGGGAATCTTACCAATGTACTGGAACAAGGATCAGTGGTGACACCAGGGACTCCAGTGATCGGCCGGCCATGGCCAGAAGTGACATCAGCATCAGAAGTGACTGGGAATGATGCAAGGTGAGGGCGGAAATGTTCCCAAGAAAAGTGCCATAGTAAGGGCACCAATGGACAGGGTGGAAGGAGCCAATGCTTGGTGTGATGGAAAAAATCAAGGGAATCTTACCAATGAGCTGGAACAAGGGTCAGTGGTGACACCAGGGACTCCAGTGATCGGCCGGCCATGGCCAGAAGTGACATCAGCATCAGAAGTGACTGGGAATGATGCAAGGTGAGGGCGGAAATGTTCCCAAGAAAAGTGCCATAGTAAGGGCACCAATGGACAGGGTGGAAGGTGCCAATGCTTGGTGTGATGAAAAAAATCAAGGGAATGTTACCAATGAACTGGAACAAGGGTCAATGGTGACACCAGGGACTCCAGTGATCGGCCGGCCATGGCCAGATGTGACATCAGCATCAGAAGTGACTGGGAATGTTTCCAAGGAAAGTGCCATAGTAAGGGCACCAATGGACAGGGTGGAAGGTGCCAATGCCTGGTGTGATGGAAAAAAACAAAGGAAAGATGGAAAAAACCAAGGGAATCTTACCAAGGAACTGGAACAAGGATCAGTGGTGATACCAGCCACCGGGGACTCCGGTGATCGGCTGGCCATGGCCAGAAGTGACATCAGCATCAGAAGTGACTGGGAATGATGCAAGGTGAGGGCAAAATGTTCCCAAGGAAGGTGCCATAGTATGGGCACCAATGACCATGGATTGCCACCCCCGTGCAACACTGAGGATGCTCTGAGGTTGGTGATGAAAACTAGGTCAAAACTGGTGGTCCGTGATGGGCATGGGAAGCATCAACAGCAACTGGATGCAGCCGGTACAGTCTGGTGACTACATGTTTTGGGGCGGGCCCCTTTGTCAGACTACAACTGGCTTGCCTTGGATTTTCTGGCTGAAGGTTTTTCTCTACACGAATTACAGGACCAAAAAAAATTGGGAAATCCCCACCAGAGACATATCAGCATTAAATATGGATTCTGGTAATGTAGGAAAGGGCTGGTACCTCTACCAGTTTATTTCTGTTACAGTAACTATGTCAGGAAAAAGTCCCTATGGGGAAATACAGCGAGAAAATATTAAATGAGAAGAACTGAGAAGGAAGAACAGCATTCCACCTGTTCACAATGCGAAGGAGCAGTGCCGGAATGTCCTCAAAGCAAACTAGGCGGATGTCAAGGAGGCCCCCACTACAACCTCCATGCTGCTGCAATAGTCCAGGGGGGTAATACAATCGGTGAAAGCAGTGTACCCTGATTGTCACTTCACAAGGGAGGGCGTACTTGTAGGCAGTTGGTGCCCAATGGGGTCATGTCAGTAAAGCCAATGCAAATGGAGCCGCTTCTCTGTGTCTCTTGCATAATTAATATAAATTACCCCCTTGCCCTCCAGAGGATGCCCCCCCTTCCTGACCAGGCCACGTTTTGCAACACGGTGTTGCATTACTTTAACTGACAATTGCGCAGTCATGCAACGCTGCACCCAAATGAAATTTATGTCCTTTTTTTCACACAAATAAGAATGTTTTTTTTCTCAGCAAAAGTGAAGTTACTCTTTAAATTCCAAACTATTTGTATCCAAAATCTAAAAATCATATCTAGAATCTTTCTGTGACACCAGCTTTCCGTGTCCCTGATTTCCCTCTCTAGGAATCTGTGGTGATTGGAAGAACCATTTCACAGTGGCCCAGAGTGAGAGGCTGGATGAGTATTACCGGAGGGAGATTTCCGGAACAGAACTGACCTTCCGCTTCTAGAATCGACAGTTCGGGTACCTCCTGAATACAGGCAGACTGTGACACCAATCAGTGACACAAGGATGCGACAAAATCTGCACCGTGACCCTGTTGGCGCTTATATTTCCAGACTTTCAAAGATGTCCAGGAGAGAAAAATGTGGACACCAAAAATGTTATTTGTTATTGTTTGGCCTTTGTTTGAGAAAACTGAAGAAGCTGATGGTCAATGGATGTCAGGGACGTAGATAAGGGGGGGGGGTCAGGGGGGTTCAAAGCCCCCCCCCCAGAGCAACCTGCCAAGATGTCCAGTCACTGTCTTTGCTGCTGTGCCGCTCATGGATGTACAGTATATTAAGATGTATATGATCACACCCGTAGCGTTCTATTAAAAGTTTATAATATATACAAAACAAGAAAAATGGCAAAGCAACAAATCAATAATCAATATATTGGGAAATTCTAAAAACATCACCAATGACAGTCATTGTAACCAAATTCAGATTTCTTCTATGGTAGCTTCATCAATGAAGAATAATGTGTAACCGATGGCTATGTCTCTTGTACAGCTCAGAGGAAATGGGGGCCATTATGGCCAGTGAGTACAAAATAAATATGAGGGACAGTTTGGGGGGAAAAGAAGGATTCGAGCCAAAGGAGTAGACTGTCCCCCAAAACTGGAGACAATCGGGAGCTTTGTATAATTGTACACCTAATATTTAGTGGTGATGTTACCAAAAGCCATGATACATAATGACAAGCCATGAAGGGCTTTGGAATGTTAAAGAGAACCAGTCATTATAGGCCCTGTAAAAACAATGTTGAATGATCATTTGTTTGGCTTACTTATGAAAGGTTTATATTTGTCCCTCTTTGTCTGAGGATGACTGTAGGTCCTGGGATGTGGGGAGAAGACCTGCAAATCAAAGTGAAACTGCCGTGTGAAAGGATCAGGTCAACTCCTCTTTCAGGCAGGATTTTGCTGTATGGCAGAGCCAGGGGCGGACTGACAATTTATGGGGCCCCCGGGCAATAGGGGATCATGGGGCCCCTGTGTCCTTGCCCAAACTCAAAAAAGCCTATGAAAAAGGTATCAGGGGCATCTCATGGGGCCCCCACTGACCCCGGGCCCTCGGGCAGTGCCCGAGTTTCCAAATGGTCAGTTCGCCCCTGGGCAGAGCTGTATAAATCGTAGTGTAGCACCTTCCTAGGTAGCTAGGGGGAGCTAGATTATTATTTTTAGTTGGAGGCTGAGCAGAGACATCCCTAGGGTTGGTGTCACGCGGTGCAGTAACACGTGGTGTCACCCCTCCATGAAACTGCAAGTCAGCTTGACTTTTAAAGAGGGGTCTGCACGTTCCTCGCCCACGCAGGGTTGTTGCTACCAGGGGCGGACTGACCATTTGGAAACTTGGGCACTACCTGAGGGCCCAGGGTCAGTAGGGGGCCCCATGAGATGCCCCTGGTACCTTTTTCATAGGCTTTTCTGAGTTTAGGCAAGGACACGGGGCCCCATGATCCCCTATTGCCTGGGGGCCCCATGGGTTGTCAGTCTGCCCCTGGTTGCTACTGATCCACACAGACTGAAGAAGAGTCCAGGATCTGTATCTGTACATAGGAAGGAAGCTGTCCCCAAGCATTGATCCAGCCAAGCTGGGCATCCCGTAATCCCGATGACCCCATCCAAGTTACATCCCCTAATAAAATAACAAAAACCCAAACTCACGGACTGTTCACTGACTGTGGATGCAAGTGCAGAAAATGCGTGTTGCCTGGCTGTGCAGAGCTTAGGGGGACCCAGAACCACAGCGGCCCCCACGAGGGTAGTGCTACACCTCTTTCTGTCTGCTTGCTGCACCAGCGCTCACCACAGCCCCCAAGATAGGTTCAAATCTCAAGTCTCCCCAAAATGGAAGGCAAGCGCCAAAGAAAACTCCACCTCTGACTGTTGTCACCGGAAGAAGTGTTTCCATTACAAGACTTCCCCAGCGATAAATACCTACCAGAGCTTCCAATTCCTCCGCACTCCATTTAAAATGAGAAAGAAAAAGGTTTCGGCTGGAGTTACAGTTTCAATGGAATACCCAACACTAAAGGTAAAATACCCAAAGCATTCATTTTCCACAGCTGGTTGATGATCTGCGTGCTGACAAATTGCAGATTTTCTGCTGCTGTTTACTCTGCAAAGCCAGCAAAAATATGCAAAAACAAAAAGTAATTTCCTCGTTCTAACCGGCTCTGCTGCATGAAATCACTTCGTGTGTTTATTCTGGTTCTGTTCCAGGATGGAAGTGCCAAATGTAGGAGGAAAGTAATCCGAGGGAAAGGTGAAGGGAAATCTTCCACTGGAGAACGGCTTAGGACTCCATTACTGACCCCCTGAACTGCCGGTTAGCTGGTCGTCCTATGTTCTTGCTCAAGTGTTGGTAATCGGTATGCATGCCTGGCAGTGTCGGGACAAGGTCATCTAGTGCCCAGGACGAAGAGGCCAAATGGCATCCCCCTCCATAAAATGTATGAGCATTATGTGTCAACAAATATTCCCTCCCTCTCCCCCCAAAAAATGTGAGCACTAATCTGAACACTCACCCCCAAGCATAAATTCCAAGCCAAAGTCCTCCAATAAAAATTCTCCTCTTCCAGTAAAAATACCCCTCCCCCACTGAAATCCCCAACCCAGCACAAATCTTTGCTAGTTTACTGTCCTTAAGACTTTCGAGGGGCTGCACTATGACCATTGGGAGTAGAACATGTCCTAGCATCTGTTGGAGTAAACAATGCCCCATCCTTGGTGTAATTGGGAGGTATTGTGACCCATCATTGGTGTAATTGGGAGGTATTGTGCCCCATCATTGGGAGATATTGTGCCCCATCATTGGTGTCATTGGGAGGTATTGTGCCCCATCATTGATGTAATTGGACCACATTGTTGGTGTCATTGGTAGGAATAGTGTGCCATCATTGGTGTCAGTGGGAGGTATTGTGACCCATCATTGGTGTAATTGGGATGTATTGTGCCACATCATTGATGTAATTGGACCACATTGTTGGTGTCATTGGTAGGAATAGTGTGCCATCATTGGTGTCAGTGGGAGGTATTGTGCCCCATCATTGATGTAATTGGGAGGTATTGTGCCCCATCATTGATGTAATTGGGAGGTATTGTGCCCCATCAATGATGTAATTGGACCACATTGTTGGTGTCATTGGTAGGAATAGTGTCCCATCATTGGTGTCAGTGGGAGGAATAGTACCCCATCACTGGCATCATTGGGAGGAATTGTGCCCCATTGTTGGTGTCAGTGAGAGGAATAGTGCCCCATCACTGGCGTCAGTGGGAGGAATTGTGCCCCATTGTTGGTGTCATTGGGAGGAATTGTGCCCCATCATTGGTGTCATTGGTAGGAATAGTGTCCCATCATTGGTGTAATTGGGAGGAACTGTGCCCTATTGTTGGTGTCATTGGGAGGAATTGTGCCTCATCATTGGTATCATTGGGAGGAATTGTGCCCCATCATTGGCGTCATTGGTAGGAATTGTGCCCCATCATTAGTGCCATTGGGCCCCATTGTTGGTGTCATTATGAGGAACTGTGCCCCATCATTGCTGTCATTGGCAGATACTTTTCCCCATTGTTGGTGTCATTGGGAGGAACTGTGCCCCATTATTGGTGTCGGCGAATTAAATAGTTCCCCAAGGGCCGGATAAAAGCAAGCAAAGGGCCGCATCCAGCCCCCGGGCCACAGTTTGGAGACCACTGAACTATAGGATACAAAACTGATCCTGTTCATATGTGGATCCCATAGCTCAGTGCTGCACAACCGTGACATCTAGTGTGGTGGTGTGGTAATGCACAGTCATTCCACTAAATAAAAACTCAGCCTAAAATTCTGAATATATATTACATTTATACAGGCCGGGACTGGGATTGAGATTTTAGACTGGGCAGCCCTGAGCCCGGGGGCCCTTTCCTTGTAGCCCTTTCGCAACTTTGACCTTTGTGACCCTGGTAGTTCTGCCACTGGTATCAGTAGTTTTTTGTTTATTTTTACCATTCTATTTTATTTTATTTTTTTACAATTTTTTTTTTTTATTATATTATTTTTTTTACCATTTTTTGGGGAGCTTTGGTGAGATATCAGGGGTCTAAACAGACCCCTGATATCTCACCTTTGAGACAGAGAAAGGAGACTAAGGACGCAGCCCTCAATCTCCATCTGTATATCCTCAGCGGCACAGAATGAATGAACAGGAAAGGCTCCGCGCAGAGCTCCTGTCCTGAAGCATAGGAAACACAGTTTAATATGCATCAGTTATGAATGGACAGAGTCAGTGATTGGCACAGATCACTAACTGTCCATTCAAACAAGGAAGGGGCTGTAAATGACATATATACCAGTCCCTTCCTTGCTCTCTGTCCTGACAGATCCCCCACAGCAGGAGGCGGTAGAGGGGAAGGGGGGAACCTGGGAGCACACGGGGGCACGTAGAGGGGGATCAGGAGAGAGAATGGGGGCCCGGGGGCAGCAGAAAGAAGATCGATACGAGAGGCGGCATATAGAGGAACCGATCTGTTCATTTCTCTCCTGCAGCCGCTGGATGCCTGCAGGAGGGAAATGGATGGATCACAGATCGGTTCCTATATATACCGCCCCCACCGCCCCTCCTAGCCAGCCAGCTCTCATTAGGACATGCGCCTGATGTGCCATATTGCCAGTCCGGGCCCGCAGGTATATACTGTATACAGCACTGACAATGAATCTCGTGTTTTACATGCTGCACATTCACATCAGTCCCTGGCCTCAAGGAGCGTACAATCTAGGGTCACTAACTCACATACAAGCACATACATGTAATGGGGCCAGTTTAGACAGGAGGAGGCATTTCATCTTCCAGCATGTGAGTGGGAGGAAACTGGAGTACCCAGAGGCAGTGCCAGGACAAGGTCATCCAGCACCCAGGGCAAAGACGCCAAACTGCACCCTCCTGTCAGCCTTGTAACAGAAGGAACGTGCCCCCATC